CTCTCAAACACAAATGGATGGCAGCAGCCAATGGATTTTGTCATAATGCACAAAGGCACTTCAAGATTTCAGGCTTTTTTGAAGGGTAGTTGATTACCATGGTCAGGACTTGCATACAGGCCACTCTATGGGGCAGGATGCTTTCGTTCTCACTAGAGCAATTTCTGTTGCTGTGTGCTGTTGTCTCTGGCAGAGTCGATCTAAGGCTTGTGAAAGGCCTGGGGCACGGGACTATTCACACTGTTCTTCAGTCATGCAAACCTTATGGACTGACATTGTCTCTAATTTTGGAAGTAATATAATCCTTTTAGAAATCACAGCTCTTAAATGGTATTTGGATAAATTTCAAGAACACTTATATCACTGTTTATTTGTTGTTTTATATAGTAAACAAGATAAAAACATAATGAAAGAGAGTAAGCATTTGAAACGTGAGGAGAATGGAAACCCTCAATATTTAATAAAGACAGTATATGCATTGTCACCAAACATTGCACAGTGTTTCTAAAAAGCCTTAAAAATGAATATTCTGCCTATGGTCAGGTCTTCTTCCAGGTATGTGGTTCTACTGCCTTATCAAATTCTAGGCAGTTTTCCTTGAATGTTGTGAATAACAGGTCACTGGTAGGACTGCTTACAACAGCATCAAGACATACTCATGCTCACATGCAGTCAATGTCTCTGTCCTGATCTTGGCTCTCTGCATTTTTAATTCATGCAATGGATGTTGGGGTTGTGTGCTGCTGGCTGAATATTGCGATAATAATACAGTGACCTCCAGAGTGTAAATCCTTTGCTTCCAGGGCTACCACAGAGAAGGAAACAGTGAGATAACAGGTTAAGTGAAAGTCATAGGCTTAATGAGGTTTCAAATATTGCAGCTCATGGCGCAGGAGACTATAATGACCCTAAATTAAACAAAAGGGTTAAAATAAACTTTTAGGATCAATGATTTTGACCAGGGCATGGTAACAAACATACACTTCTGTGTTTTCCTGTAATATCTCTCATTCAGGATATTAAGACAATTTACTAGTATAGCCTTGTCACCCTCTTCTGATGAAGGTAAGTAATACATAAGAATTACTTCCCTGCTTTTGTGAAATCCCTTCTCTCTTCTTTAATAACATACAATAATATTACAGAACACTTTGGGTCAATATGTCTCATTTAATGTGAGAAGAAAATGGAAGAATATGGGAAAGAGCTAGAAATTCGTGAATATATCAAGGGTAAATGTCTAACATTCACTTTAAAGCACCACAGGAATCTTAATAATCCTTTTGCCATTACTTCTTACTCAGGTTTTTTCAAGGGAGATGATAGTTTTCTGCCTCTTCCTTCACCCGTATTACCAGAGCACAGAACTTTGATAATTAAATATTAAAACAGAGCAGTTTTCTTACTTGCAGAGTCATTACCATTTCAGATCCTGGAAAAGAACCTTTCCTCTCTATTCCATGAACTGCCAGCAGTTGGGCTTAAATTGAATTGTAAGTGGAAGTGGTTAAGAAAAGGAATAATTTTTTTCCCCCCTCTGCTTCCTTCAGTGCTTGCAGTCTTAAAAACTGTACACTGCACTGTTGCATACTAAACAGACCAACAGGTACAGTTTATTTACACCAAAACAATTCTCCTCTGTCATTTTCCTTGGTTTGGGTCTCCAATGAGTGAAATTTGTTGTCCCCAGAAGTAATCCACATTTTCATTCTGGAACTTTGATAACAACTCTACCATTGCAGAAAGGAGGGAATGGCTGAGATCAAAATGAGCTATATGCACATCTCAGCTCAAAATTAATGTTGACAGAACAGAGCGTAGTATGGGACTACACTATTATTTTTATAATAAACAACAGAGAAGCAAGGAAGGGATATTCCTAATTGTCTTCAATCCGTCGACATTGAGCTTTTCACAGTGTGAAATGCCATGTGAACAGAAAGAGGTTATGTCAGTAATGACAAGCAAATGTAATAAGTTCTACATGTTAGTTGTGTAACTGAATCAGGTGTCTATTGAAATTGTAATATTATAGATGAGTCTGACTGGTTTTGTATCATCAATAAATCAGGATCCCATAGCTTTCTGACTCAGATATCCTTAAATAATATTTTTCTATCTTATTGGTTACATTTTATGATACAGAACTGCCTTTTTTGTTTGTATAATAATTGATCATAATGTAGGCAAATATTTACAGTAATTGCAATTGTTCCAAGGAAAATGCTTGCTTACGGATTTCTGCAGTGAATGGCATCTCTATTCAATGTCACACAGACTTTTTGTCACACTTGTGTTTCTTCAACATGAGAGAAATGCCAACTTTTTTCTTTTGGCTAAGAGATGAATTGCCCTCTCTGTTTTTTCCCTTGTGTAAACTCAGGCAAATGATGAAAAACGGCAGGAATAGCAGCTGTACAATGCTAATCCAATTGTCTGAAGTGAAATAGAACTGCTAGAAGGCATAAAACTTGTGGAGTGCACCGATTTCCTTGGCACCTGAAACCACGAGAAAACAATTGTTTCGGTGGCAATGCACGGTTTCTGAAAGGCTGAGGTTATGACAAGAGTAGTTAAATGGTGGCTTTGAGTTGCATGTGGATTGTGAACAATTCCAGTACAGCATTGTATGCTGTACCTGCATTGTATAATTGGTTGTTTGGCTGTGCTAGCACAAAGGTTGCTTGGCAATTCACATTCTCAGCTGAGGAAGAAGGTGAGCTGGCACTGCAGGACTTCTGAGGACCCAGCTATACACTGGGGATGTCTCCCTTCTGCAGGGAGCTACAGCCCTCTACACAGACATTGTCACCTGTAAAAGGCTACCGGAGCTGCCTGAGGATGGCCCTGGTAGCTGACACAAAGCAATTGTCCAGGACAATGTATTACTGGACATGGGAAAATGTTCATCATAGAATCATAGAATATCCTGAGTTAGAAGGGACACACAAGGATCATCGAGTCCACCTCCTGGCCCTGCACAGGACAGCCCAACAATCCCACCATGTGCCTGAGCATTGTCCAAACTCTCCTTGAGCTCCATCAGTTCAGAGCAGAATGTGATGTCAGCCAAAGAAAAACAAATGCACTTGGTAGTTGGTGAGATTTCAATAGAAGTTGAAGTATATGCCCCTTTATGCAAATACTTGAAGTATTTGTCCCTTTTTACCTTAAAACTGCTGCTGCAGCCAGGTGGGGTGTTAGACATTACTGCACTGTCCCTGGTAGGGCAGTTGGGCAGTGACATTCCCTTCTCCTGGCTCCTCAAATGTGGTTTTACCACTTCCCTGGGTTACTTTCTCAGACCTGCAAGTATACAGATATGCTCCTCTTTCACAATTATCATCCGTGTCAGAGGAAGGTGCTGTCTTCAGTAGCAGGTGCAGGTGCCAT